AGTTGTACGAACTCGCCTGCTCCACAGCTCAACTAAACCGCGCGTTGAATCAGCTGCTACGCTTTAACCCACGTTGCGCGTCGTGGAGTATGCGCGACGTGGGTCACAGCGTAGCAGCTGCGTCGTCCAAATGCTAAGATTGGTCGCCAAATAATGACTTTGTAAGACCTGCCGCGAAAACGGCACATCTGCGATACTCGTGGACTACTCTATCCAACGCAATGAATAGGTTATTCGACACGACTTTGCTGGGGTATAGCTTTTATTCATGGCAGAGGAGGGAGAAACTCCACGGAAATTTTCGTAAATCGAAATTTTGCCAAGTATGTATGAAATAACACATTTTCGGGAAGAATAAATGATCAAGCACCTGGCATTGATCAAGCCCTTTCTAGGATGCGCTACGCACTCAACTATCATTAAAACCGTAGTGGCACTTGAGTGCGATTCTGTCTACAGTAGAGGGGGGGGGCAAAAAAAGTCACTTTGCCTATGGCGCACATCATCTTTCGTCGCACAGGGTGCCGCTGTTGATGAAAGTTTACGGCAAAATATTCCTTAGGTGTCCCCCATAAGCAGAAGCAGGCCCTCCTTCACTGCCCCCACCGTCTTCAGAATATGACGTCATCTGCCATCACCGTCGAGCTCAAGGAGGCCTACCGTAATCGCTCCAGCCTGAAGCTGCTACATAATTTCTTCAATCGATTAACTGGTGAATAGCTTCCAGAGACACTAGCTGTGACTATGCAAGACCGCTTTTGACCAGCGTTTCAGGGACGTCGTAATGGTCTATGGTCCTCGACGACCTCGTTGAGATGTTTTCGTGAAAATCTTCTGATGTCTTCGGTGTAGAAAGCTCGATATGTATGTACGTAGTTTTTAAATAATTATATAAGTCTACAATTTCCAGTTGGGCTCATTCGGTATGGATTTGGCAACATTTCACTAATTCCGTTTTGAGCTTGGAGAGATAGAGGTGACTTTTTTGCCCCTCCCCCTCCCTCCTCCATAGAATGACTTGCGGGCCAGCATGAAAATGAAGTTGGTGTCCCTGTTTTGGAAAAAAGGCTGATAGCGCTTAGTTGAGCCGGAGGAGATGTTCGTGATTTGTCCCTCGAATAGTTGTTGTGGGAAGTTGCGCCATTTGCCGCGATGATACCTCGACATTTCTTTGCAAATGGAAGAAAAAAAGCAAGGATCGCCATGACAACCCACTGAGTCCGCATCACCTACATGCGCCATCAACCCAGGTTCAGACTCTCACACTGTTTGCAACACATACCGGAGTACCTATCGCGAACGCTGCAGAGAACAATGCTTATGAAGCACTTGAGCATTCTGGAAAACACATTCAATGATTGCTCAAAGAATGGCAACTTATAGGGGAATATTACTGAAAACGAAAACTTCCAACCTTCATAATGAAAGAACTCGTATTTATATCAAACACTATCCTTGCGACTGAAATCAAAAAAGGAAGAATATTCCACAAAAATCTCTCCTTTTCTTTCAAATACGCCTTCGCTGTCACAACCTTTCCGTCTTCCTCACTTCACATCTTCCGAACCTACACCCAGCACAATTTTACATTCTCTTGCTTTCAGTGAAAAATCCTCCGGTCGGAGAATTACGTCGGTGCCAGTTTACGAATCTGCGGATTCGCTGCAATTTGCGGGGCACGAGTGATGCCAGCGGTTCGAGCGATGCACCAGCAAATTTAGTCACTGATTCGCTGGCGCATCGCTTGTGCCCTTCGAACTGCTAGCGAAACGCCCAATCGCTAGCGATTCCGCGGACTTGCTGTCTGCCAATGCCGTTGCAATTAATGTGTGGATTGCTGATCGCAATCAAACTTCACATGCTAAGTCATTACACTTCCTGAAACTTATCATTGGAAAGCGTTGCCTAAGTATTGTAGGTCGATATTTTTGGCACGAGAAGTAGGTAGATGGTGGTACGTAGATGCTTTTTTCCATGACCCGCAATCTTTTTGTTGAGAAGACTCGTGAGTCCGATCCTACGGATAAACGTTTGCCAAAACTTCTACAACCTCTTCCAGGAAAATATAAAGCAATGGGGGCAATCATAGTCAACTGCGCTTGAGAAAACGGTAGAAATGGCGCAGTTTTAACTTACTGGATATTACATTTCAATGATTTTTGCATAACTTTTGATACTGAGTGTCACAAAGCTTGCAATTACTATTAGAATGTTGTTGCAATCTTGAGAAGTTCCAAATCAGCTAACCTCGTTGGCGTCTGCTTCGCCATCGCTTCCATGAACTGAACGATTCGACAATGCTGCTAATGAAGCCGCAGAACCAGATGTCAACATCTCCTAAACAGCTTAACACTGAAGATCCTGTAATTTAATACCAGTGGCCCCAGCTTTTCGACGATATTCGAGAGAAGGTAAAAGTCTAAGATCAAAATCAAATAGATATTACTGCCGATTATCAAAGTAAGAAGACGCCAAAAATAACCACAGAAATGAACAAAAAGCTAGTGAACCTGAAACTGGCAGTGCTTTGGCTTTGCTGAACGGATCAAGTCTTTTTCAAGATCCTCTGACGTAAGCACGGTCGATCCCACCTGAGTGTGTGATCATTTGGCAACCTTTGAGTAGTTCAGTCAAAGAAAAAGCTGAATAACTGACCTTTGAAATGAGCTTCGGCTGTTCTTGAACCATGAGTTTCTGAAGTAGCACTGGCATATCTGACACTGGACCAGATGCCGTACCTACCTCGTCGTCTTTCAATCTCGGTTTCTCTTTCTCTGCCTTTTCTTGAGTGGAAGACGGAGGACGAGCATTCGAGGAAAGATGATTACCCTAAGAGTTTGAGTCAGGTCTCAATAAAGGATGGTACAACATTGATAAATTAAAAGACAAATAAAAATCATAGAAAACTACCAGATGGGTTGATGATGCCGGCTGCGTAGTTTTAAGAAGTTCGAGTAGCTGATTCGACTCATTAGGTGGTGCTACAGACTCAGGAAGATTAGAGGACATTTCACCCGATGTGGGCGGAGCAGGTATCTAAAGACATCCTTCATTGGTTACTGGCCCAGTGAGTGAAAAAAAGTACCAGCACTCACTTTTCCAGCTCTAATATCTTCCTGCAGTCTCTTGAGTAGATTATACATTCGTGTGCAATCCTCAGTGGAAAAGAACCACAGGCCATATATTTGGTCTTAATGATAAAATAACGGTTTTTTTTTGATTTTTAGCTGCTGCGTTTATTCCGGTTTGCGATGCGAAAGTTGTAACAAAAATGCTGTTCTATGCGCAGAACACTTCACACGAGGAAATCACTCCCACACCTCTCGGGGTAGTTATGGTACCGGTTGCGCCACCACCAGACTACCACTCACTATAAATCAACTTCAAAACTTAAAATCTTCAAGTGCGGAGTCAAGAAGAAAAAGTGCCCTGGGGCTGTAATCAACGTAAATTTATCTCTAACCAATCTTTCTTCACTGAGAGCACATGATGAGTGGTACTATAGCAAGACAACTCACTATCAGGTTTACAGAAGAACAGATAGTGGCCTTCATTATTCATTTTCGTGAGAGGATTGACAGGCTCCACCATATCATCCAGTGATTGGCGATTCGCAATGATCATGCTGAAATGAAGAATAATCAATTCCAAGTTATTGACCCGAAAATAATAGAATTTAGTAAACGAAAAGTACTCATCTACGAACTTGTCAAAAATTCCTCCAATTTTCAAAATCTACAATAGAAATACAATAGAAATAACTGGAGAAATCATACTCCCTTTATCTCTAGGCCTTTCTAAGAGATGTGAATAGCTGCAGAAAAAAAAGCGAAATCTGCTGTCCCGAAATAGGCAACTGGATGCAAACTCGTAAGAAAACGGACTTTACTGGTCTTTACCGGCGTTTCTTACACATGGTTTCATGAGCAACGATCACCAGCCGAAACTCTTCTACGAGTCCTTAAAAGCTGAATTCAAGAATTCCTCCTGTTTTT